TATTTATATAGAGTTTAGACTTAGATATAGTTAGAGAGAGAGCGCGCTATGAGAGCTTTGTTTTAACTTTTAAATTTAAATTTATGCTTATGATTTATCATTTGCCTTTTGCTTTGTTCTGGGATCGTATCATCATCATCATCATCATTAACATCATCAACAATACTCCTCCTGGGATCACACTGTATATGAGGGAGAGAAAAGGGTGAGGGTGAGGCGGGAGAGGGCGGGGCCTGGCTTGGCTTTTGGGTGGGCGTGGTGGCACTTAGGCGCTATTCTTGGAGACAAACTCGCGCAATATATCGCCAGCCATTTCGATGTTGTTCCTCGAGATGCCCAGGGCCGTGATGGCATTCTCCTTGGAGTAGCCGGCATTCATCAGGCGCGCTATATACTCCAGATTGATATTCTCATAGGGCACAGTGGGGCCGCAGTCTTTTTGATTGATCGTCACGTTCGCATAGAGCAACGGTTGCTGCTGCTGCTGCTGCTGCTGCTGCTGGAGAGGATTCGCCGCTGGCGTTGGCTGCTTAAGCGTCGACTTTTTGCCATTGGCCAGCGTGGCGGCAGCCGCCAGAGCCGCAGCACTGGTCGTGGTGGTGCACAGCTGCGTATAGTGCGAGGTGGCTGCATCCTGGGAGCCACTGCAATTGCTGCTGCTGCTGCTGCTACTGTTGGAGTTGCTGCTGTTGCTGCTGCTGGAGTTGCTGGTGTTGGCAGCGGCGGCGGCGGCGGCGACAATGTTGGTGGTGCTGCTGCTGGGCAGCGTGCCTCGCGCCTCCAGAGGACGCGTATCGATGACACCGCTTATGGTCTCTGCCGGACCCACCTCCACCATCTCGTCCAGCAGCGACAGCACCGGTGACGTGGTGCTGCTCGCGATACGCTGCTGTCGCATCAAGTCCTCGGCCAGGGTGTCCACGCTGCTGCTCACATGCGGCGGTATGGGCGGTGCCGTTGTCTGAGGCGGCACATTATCCAAGCTGCACTGGATGTTGTCGATGCTCTTGCTGGTCGAGGGCGTCGCATTTGGCTTCACTGGCGTCTCCATGCCGGGCGATTTGCGCGGCGGCAAGGGCGGTGCCACTGCAGCACCACCAGCACCACCAGCAGCAGCAGTAGCAACAGCAGCAGCATTTGAACCACTTGCAGCTGAAGCCACTGTGCAGCTGGAGCTGGCATTATCCTGTAGATTCTGTAGTATCGCATAGGAGCTAATGGAGGCCGTATCGCCACTCGAGCCACTCTCCGATTTGCAGCCCGCCAACTTCTGTCCGTAGGTGGAGTTGTTCACACTGCAGCCCATCAGCGGTGCACTCATGCGATGCGTTGACTTTTGCGTGGATGCATTACCATTGCTGATCACAGCAGCAGCAGGCGGTGCCGATGGCTGTGGCTGTTGTTGCTGCTGCTGCTGCTGCGTGCAATTTGCAGAGTTGCCGCCGGCGTTGCTGTTGTTGCTACTGCTGCTGCTGCTGTTGCTGTTGCTGTTGCTGCTGCTGCTGGGCAGACTGAACGTGGCCGCACCGCCGGCATACAGATCATTCTGCACCGCCATCAGGCTGGGCGTGGTGCTGCGCCTGCCCAGCCGCGGCGATGTGTGCGGACTGTGCTTCTCCATGGACGACTGCGAGGCGGCCGAGGTGCTGAGCGCATGCAGCGAACTGGTGGCTATATTGAAGTCGCCCATGTCCTGGAGTAGGGATGTTTGTAGTAGTCAAATTGTTGTTGGTTGAGTGGTTGGGTGGGTTGCCTGTCTAGAGTGTGTCTAGAGTGGGTTAGATGGCATGCCCCTAGAGCAAAAGTGGCTGCAAGTCAAAGTTTTGATTCGAACATGCACAGCAACAAGGATATCAAATAAAAATGTCGAAAATAATGGAACAGGAGCAAAAACAACAAGAACAACAACAACAACGAGAATAACTGTAGAAAAAGTCATTGAACGAAATGAAACAATTGAAACCAATATTTATAAATATTTATACACATATATATATATTTTTTCTGCTGTTCAGTTTTTTTTTGTTTTTGTTTTAAGGAAATCAAAAATTAATTCTAAGAAAATGTACTTGCACGAAGTGTATATATATATTTATATATATATACATAATTAAAACATAAATAATTATTAATTATTAATTGAAATATGCTAAATCGATGTAAGCTGAAGCCTATGTTAAGGAAACAAAACTTGAGCCGAAATTGTTTAAACAATAATGAATGCAAAGAGTTAACAAACAGACATACACATACACACGCAATCACGCACACACACACATACGCACACATTGTCAATTTCCTTTTGCTAATACTTTGAAATTTGTTTCTTTTTGTTTATATAAATTCTGGCCTAGGCTTGTGACATTTAACAAACACTAAAAACTAAAAACTACCTACACTAAAAATAATGATAATAATTATAATTATAAAAAATTACAATAATGTTAATGATAATGATAATAATTATACAATATGCATTGGCCTTGACCATTTTGTTTTTGATTTTTCATTAAATATTATTATTAATAAATTACAGTCTTAGGGCAGCTGCAGCGCTGCTTACAAAAAAAATAAACACTCACACATACAAAAATATATATGTATAAAATCTATATGAAAACCGATTTGCAAAAACTAAAAACAAACACAAAATATTATAAACCATGATGAACTAAACATATCTTTGGAAGTATCAAATCATAAACTAAAATGTGTGTGAAAATAGATCAGATATTTTGTTGTATATAAATGGAAGAGGTTCATATACATATATAGATCTATATACTGCAGGAAGAACGGAGTGCAAATACAGGTTTCGTTTCGTTTCGTTTCACTAAGAACTAAGGTATTTACAAAAGGTGCACAAGTGCCAGAGGGCATAATACAAATACAGTTACATTTCATCATATACATATATATATATATATATATAAATCATAGTTGTTCAAGAATCAAATCACACGCTTCAAATGAATTCATAAACAGAGGCGAGCGAGCGCAAATGAATGAATAAATTTAGTTTTGTAGTAGGGTAGAATGAAGAAAAAGAAGAAGTAGAAGCAATCAACAAAACGAAACAAAAACACAGCAAGAGAACAGAGTGCACAAACAAAACCGACAGAAACAAGCGAGCGTTGATAAACAGAAAAGAGTAATAATAAGCGACTGATGAGTAACTTCCGCTCGGCGCATAAATAMATAAATACAAGCGCATATGCATATATAGACATACGTACATATACATACATATATATATAAATATGCACGTATTAAACATTACACTATACAGAAATGATTGCGATTCTCGTTCTGTGTGCGCACAGCTCTGTTAGTTGCAATGAAAAATTGTAGCTAATAATTTACGTATGAATAAATCAAAATCGCTAAACATTAAACTTAATATATAAATAGAACGTCTATATATATATATAATGTATATATAAA